GGGGGTTGGACTAGATGACCCACAGAGGTCCCTTCCAACCCCTACTATTCTGTGATTCTGTGACGGGAAGGATTTTTACTTTGTTCTTTTGGTGTAGGTGTGATTAGTTGCATGAGTAGGCCTGACTAAAAGCATGATTCAAAGGAGGGCCTTCAGTTGTGTCCGACCAGCTCTTCCTGCCCTTCTTACCCCTGCAGACATATTCATGGAGTATTTAATTCATTCAGGAATGTGACTGTCATGTGATTTTAAATAAAACCATCCTTCAGTTGCTGTTTTTGTCCATTTCTTTAATGCGTACGTAAGGACAAAGAGTTGGACCTGACAAGGTAAGCCGCATGTTTTGACCTGCGGGGAGTGCTGTCCTAACTGCTGAACAGAGAGAAGGGGAAAGAAAATTCAGACCAGTATTGTACCCCAGCTCTGTGTCTGCTCAGGCAGCACAAAAGTGTAAGAGATCATTTTTGTAGTATTCTGATCCCCCTTCTTAAGTAGATATTCGAAGTATTTAGTTTGATTAAATAAGGCTAGTAATTTTTTATCAGTAGAAAGTAGTCCAAGCTGTTCTTTGTTGACAGACGTTCAGACACTGCTTCATCACAGCACGTAAATGTGTGCTTGTTAGTGGCTCTTTTCTGTTAAACTGGGTATGGATTCTTTGTTTGTTCAGATATGAAATCGTTCTAAGCAGTAACCAGATTTCATTCATTCACTTACCACTACCTGGAAGAGAAATTTTACAAAAGAGTAGGAGAAACACCAAACTCATTGTCTGGGGAAGCCCTAGCTTGTGTATTTGGTTAATAATACTTGATTGAAAATATCTGTAGAATAGATAACAGGAGGGCGAGTTTGCTTGTGTCACCTGAACAAGTAGGATAGTTAGCTTTTGTGTAAGCTGAAGCAACACTACACGTAATAAACCAGTTTAGAACAGAAAGTGCATTTCATTTTAGTGACCTGGAGCAAGCTGGACTAGGTTGTTCTTGCAGCATGGGTGGAGAAGATGAGCTGAGTGTACCTGGCCAGGCACTGCTGCTGAGAGGGGCTGTTCTGCTGCCAGCGACGCAGCCTTGGCTCATTAGTCTGGCACAGGGCTCGGCGTGGGGACAGGAGAAACACGAGTTCTCTGCCCGCCTTACTGAGCTGGTGCAGGTTCTGGTGTCACACTGGGGAAGAGGGAAGTAAAACGATGCCTTTCCATGAGCTAGCTGTCTGGCGAGGCGAGCCGAGTTCACCTGCCTACACCTTCGCCCCGTAAGGAGCAGTAATTGGAGTCGTAATGCCTGCAGTGGAGAATTGCGCTGCCACGTACGGTGGGTTCTGTCTAGGAGCAGGAAAAGGTGGTGAGATGTGCAGGAAGGTGCAGAGCTGCACAAATAGGTGTGTTAGTCTGCAGATCGCTGGAAGGCCCCTTCCTTCTGCTGCTCTGCTACAGCTGTGAGAATTCACAGTTGTATGGTGAAAAAAAGCCGGCAAGTGGAGCAGTATTACTTGAGTGCCAGGATGTACCTTCACAGATTTTGTCTTGGTTGGTTGGTTGTTTTGGAAATGTGTTTCCTAATTGCTAATATAACTTCTTAAACGGAAATAACATATGCAAGCAGCTGTTAAGCATGGTAAAATAATTGTTTCTGGCTAAAAATTTTTTCCTTTGAAATTAAGGACTTCAGTAGTAAAGAAAAAGAATGTCCTTTGGATGGTTCAAAATGGGGTTTTAATGTCTTTTTTTCTTCTTCCTCTCCGCCTGTTAAGGTTCTCGATGCCTCAACGCTCAGCTTTGGTACTCGAGTCAGATGGTTTGCCATATGTTTCGTCGCTGGTGTTGTGTGTTCTATTCTTGTAAGTAAAGTGATTCTGTGTTTGCTTTATCCTGTATCCTAAATTTCGTATCCGTAAATTTAACTGGACATAAATGTGTAATGAGTATGTAGGAACTGTGGTACATGATAATTTTGGCCTTATTTCTTCCATTCACAGCAGAGCACGTTTTTATTGCAGTGTAATAAAATTTCTTAATGAAAGGTTTGAATGCTTAAAAATATGCTGTATTTTTAATTTAGATTTGTGAGTGGTGTATTAGGAAAGAGCTTTTGCTGTTCATTGTGTACCCATCTTATTCTCTCCAATAAAAGGTGAAAAGCAGGGGGAAGCTTGAGAGGTTTTTAAAGGCTGAAGAAACCACAAGTATGACCTGTCACACTCACAAATCAATAGGTGATGACTGTGGTAGCGTGTTGGCACTTGGAAACCTGCGGCACCCCTGTTGATCTCATGGCCAGCAGGTCATTTGTTCCTTCTTGAACCTGAGGGGTTGGCAGGAGGCTCAAGCCTGCAGTTAGAAGTTGAGATCTGTTAATGGATTGGGTCTGTCAGAATCTGACACAGGTAGTTTGCAGTACAGAGCAGTTCTTCATCTGCATGGGAAGTCCTAGAAGCAGGTGAAATAACAAAATAACATTGGGGAAGTAGCCAGGCTGCTGGGTTTGTGGGTGTTCGTTCTTCTTTTGGTGTCAGCTAGTCCAGAAGCCTTTGGCTAGTGAGCGTGGATGACATCTGTGGTGTTTGTGGAGACTGTCAGGCAAGTTGCCTGGGCTCATAATGCGTTCTGGAGTCCTGTGTGCATTAGTTTCTGAATTTGCCATGTTTTAAATGACTGCTGCTGGTCTGTCTTTTACCATGAAAAGTTTTTAAACCAAGGAGACTTATGTAATGGCGGAAGGGGCAGCTGTGGAGGAGAAACCCGTTAATGGCTTGAGGCACTCGCTCGGAGATAGCTACTTGCTGGGTTCTCCTGCAGGTGGAAGCTTCTGCTGCTTTATCCAAACTTGCAGTTTCTTAGACTCCCTGGGACCCAGGGGTAAACCAGCACCGTTGCTGGTCTTACTGAAGTGGTGATCAGCTCGGTGAAGGAACTGGAGAGTGGTGTGCTGAGTATGGACGTCGGTGCCCAGTGCAGTGACACAAACCCTGGCTGGATGCTTGTGTAAGAGAGGAGGCAAGTTCTAGGGAGGGAGCTCAAGACTGGGTTAGAATATCCCTTTTGTAGGTTTGCTTAAGCATTATTTGGTTGACTTGGTCCCCCCCTCCATTTTTTCTTTTTTGCAAGTAACATTTAACCAGTATCATCACAAATTTTAGTACGCACCGCGTGTGTGCGTTAACACCTATTTCTGGACAGGTGAACATCACTCTTTTTGCTGCTGGTTTTTTAGTGTTTAGTCTTTGTGCCTATTCTAGATCACATGGTGTGAAACTATGAAACAACAGATAAAAGGCTTTAGGATCTTGGTTCCCTAAAGTTTCCTTAAGTTATCTTGAGCTTGGTAAGAGTCAAAACTCTTGAATAGTGTGTTTGTGGACCTCGTAGCTTGGAGAGTGTGGAGGTAGCTCTCTAGCCAAGCTTTGCCACATGAAGCTGAGAGCTGGCAGCTCCACCTTCTGCTGCTTCAGATTGTGGAACTTTTGGTGTATTTATTATGTTCTTGGCTGGCTAAAATGGCAGGTGGTGTTTCTTCTTTAATCCAACCCGTGCAGAGTGTCTGTAGGCTTTGCTAGGAGAATACAGTTACACTTTTACAGCTTTCCGTGGTTGCTTGTTCTGTGGTCTGTGCAAACTGACGCCACGGATTCCCATGGAAATTGCAGCTGGGTAAAATGCAGCTTTTTGGTTGTTTTTTTTTTTTTTTGCAGGACAGTGTCTGCATCACGGCTTAAAGAAAAAAGAATTAAAAGCCCAAACAAACTAAAACCCCATGTTTTGCTTCTGGTTTAGGCTCTGTTTCTCCCTGATCATCACAGGGACAGTGATCAACAGAAGGCTTTGGATTTTTTTTTTGTGTTTAGTGGAAATAAGAGAGGCAGTATGAGTTCTAAGCTATTTCTGTTCGGCCCCAGTGTGTATCTAGACTGCGAGTCCGGATGCTTGGTTGGGTGGGAAAGGAGATGGTGGGTGTTAGGGTGGCTTTGTGATGTTGTTTTCCTTTGTGCGTGGAGGTCTGGTGTGTAGTGGGCCATCCTAACAAAACTGAAAGTGCCACAAAGCAAAAATAAATGTTATAAACAATAAAAATAAACATTGCCTAGTTGTAAAAAATATTGTGAAATATAATAAATCAGGACATTATTTTGCCAGTAGGTGGCAATAGAAGTAAGCTGAATATTGCCTACTTCAAATCTGAGAACAGTGTGTTAGAATGACACTCTTTGTAGTCTGAAAATACATTTATAGACTATAAAATCCAAATAAATTGAATTAACTAATTAAAAACATACAAATAACCTGTCTTTTATAGGGAACTGCATTGCTATGGCTCCCAAAGGGGATCAAACTTTTCGCAGTGTTTTACACCCTGGGAAATATCTCTGCGTTAGCCAGGTACGATTTCTTAATTATTGTTATTAGAAAAGTATCCTCCTTTTCATCTACATTTCCATTTGCCTTTGCTCTAAGAGTGTGTCTGCTTATGTTGTGTATAAACAACATTGTTTTCATATTGAAATGCTCATAATGTAAAATCTTGTTTGTCTTACAGCTTTAAGATTAGTGAATATTAGTTATTCGCTTGTTATTGCCCTGTTGTAGTGTTTTACGTGGTTGTTTTGTAGACACATCACAACTGCTGTCTGAGGCATGTGTGACAGATTGCTGGCTGAATGTTTTGGACTTCTTACAGCCAAGTCCTGCTGCCAGCTGCAGAGTACCTCAGTTTAAGGGGCAAACTGGTCTGCCCGCTGTGTAGCTGCTTTGTTACTGGGAGGAGCTTTTTGGTTTTGACAAGGACATCATCCTGTTTCTAGGAAAACTCTGTGAAAAAGGAGAGGCTCAGGAAATCCTCCTTTTGACTGTGGGGCCAGGCAGAATCTAAAAATCTTTCGCAGTGTATTTGAAACTCTGTGCTTGGTTCTTTGCTGCGTTCCCTGTAGCAGGTAGTCTGGAAAGATTCGCAGAAGGGACCTCCTAGGATCTAAACCTCTTCTTTCACTGTTTGAAAGACATGTAAGGAAGAATTTAATGTCAGTAAAGTATTTTCAGTTTCAGTTTGTCCTCATTCTTGTGCTATTGTAGCATAGCTGAAGCATGGCCGTGAGACTCAGAACCTATGGAGTCCAGTCTTGTGTTTGGACTCTGTGACTTTAGTCAAGTCACTTAAATGTTGAGTCAGAGCATGGTTAATCTGTTGAAACTCAGGGAATGTGACGTTAACATTTGAGAAATGCGATTCCTCAATGAATTTGTTAGGGGACAGAGATGTTTATACTGGAAGTGAGCCTGTCATTTGTGTAACTATTGCATTTCAAACTAAAACAAGACAAAAAGTTAATACTGGAAGTAGGCAAAACTGAATATTTCCCTTTCTCTCCCTGACCTTAGTCTTTGTTGTTGGGTTTTTGTTTGTTTTCTTTTTAACCTAGTATTTTGGGTGTGTTTTCACTGCTGCCAATTAAATTAGCATTTTAGAAACTTGGTAGTAATCAACACTATCAATGAATGAAGAGGAAAGCTTTTACAGGCTGGCATTTCTTTTAGAAGGATGCTGGAAAACTTTAGCCTGGATTCCAACTAAAATTAGAAGTAAAAAGAGGCCCCCTGCCCCATCAGTAGTCCTGTTAGATGTACACAACAGGCAACTGTGCTTTGCAAACAGTAGGAGATGCCAATAAAGTCCCAAGTTGACAAAGAGATTTGAACTTTTCCAAGTTTGTTTGCAAGGCTGTATTTAAAACAAATGCAGTTTCCACTCTTACTAAATAGTCCTGTCTGGCCCGTTTTTGCTGTAATTTTCTAGCCACAAACATGAAACTGATACTTAACTGATTCTTCTCTGGGATGAATGATGAGTGTATCTCCTACAGAATGTGTTGTATGTAAGAAATATCCTGTGGAAGTGGAGATCCTCTAGAATGTTTTTTTCCAGCCTTTCTGCTCCCTCTGGATTCTCTCACACCTCTGGAAAAGCTCTTGCGCTGTCTGTCCTTCAGTGCCAGTCAGGCTAGCGTCAATGCATTTTGCTTTCTATATTTTTTCTGTCTATGTGCCCTGAACCTCCCTCATTTTTACCAACATACTTTCATCATCCCTATCCTTCCACTAGCTAAGTAGTTTTTTATTCTAGTCCTTCAAGGCTCTTTTATTTTGTCTTAATTTAATTTTATTGCCTAGAAGCCAAGATGAAAAAATACTGAGAAGTAGTTAGTTTGGATTGCGGTGAAGTTAAAACAGTTTTTTTGTTTTATTGAATTGAGAAAACATTTTTCTCCATTCAATATGGACTTTTGAGGTCTGCCTATACAACTTAAGGGGAAAAAAAAAAGAAGATATATACACAAAGTTGCTGGTAGGGGACCCTGTGGGTGTGGGAGATCATGGTTCAGTTTGCTGCTTGGAAGGTGGATTCCTGTATTTCTTCTGTCTTAGAAGATGTGTGCTTCACCAGGCTTGTGAGTAGTTTCAGGAGGGAGCTCTGCTGAACTCTTCTCTGCTACTGATAGTTTCGTTTCTTATAAGCAAATATGAACTAGCAAAGGAGTTAAACTAGGTTTCCTGCTCTGTAGTAAAGCATTCAGACCACGACAAGGTTGCAGGCATTCTCACTCTGTCGCTAGAGTTTTGTATTTTCTACAAAGCAGACAGGGAAGGAGGAGACCCATCTCGGAGTATTTGAAGCCAGATAATTGCTCCTACGGCTGTGAATTCTTAGTTCACACCGCGTTTCTTTACATGAACAGGTACAGCGTTGCTGATGGATTTTGTTCTGTCTTCAAGCTAACTACAGAATAGAAGAAAGTAGTTGGGTTTAATACAAAACTACTGAACTTTTTCCTTCTTTTTTTGCTTGCTGAGTTTGGGCAAAGCGTTAGAGCTTCCCTGTAATGTTGATTGTAGCTGCTTGCACTCTGCCTGGGTAAGAAGTTTATTGTTAAACGGAAATTTTCTTCAGAAAGTTTGGTCTTTGTATTCTTTACATTCTTCTGGCAAGTCAGTTCTTAGAACAGCCTCACCGTGAATTTGCCAGACATCTGCTTGCCAACCCTCTGCTCTAGGTGGTAAGGTTTTGGAAAAGATTTCGTGACCAAAGGTGACTCAATACATAAGCTGTTTGCAGGACTAAATTCATGGAGTATTTCCCCTCTCGTTCTAGTATCTCTTTGTTGCTAAACACTGAAATGCTTTTTTTTTAAAGCCTTTGTAGTCATCTCGCTGTTGGAAACCTGATTAAATTACCTATTGTCTTTTATAAATATTTATTTGAAAGTGATTTACCATTTGTTTTGTTTTTTCCCTCTTATTAGTACATGTTTCCTGATGGGGCCAGTGAAGCAGTTGAAAGCAATGTTTGACCCAAAGAGATTAATAGCTACAATTGTGATGTTGGTAAGTATACTATCGTTATTTCCTTTTGCTAAGATGTTGTCCTTTAGCCTCAAAGCTAAATTTGAGGCTTTGCTAATGGGAGGTTATTTCTCAGTCCACCTCTTCTTTGTTAGTGAGTAGCAATAGCCAATCTGGTTAGCTCTGTGTATCATAAAGATTATCTAACTCCTTTCTGTGAGCCTGTGTTTTTGTTGCTTATGATTTTTTCTAAATCATTTGGAGCAAAATGTTCTTTACTGAATTTCTTACCAAATGCTATTATTATGTTGATTATTTTTAATTGATTTTCTAAACCAATTTCTTCACGAACAAGGCTCGGGAGAGACTTTTCAGCTCCTGTGAAAAGTCTGTGGTCACCGCGTCTGGCTTGACAGCTGCTTGTCGGCCGCAGCTCTGTTTGTATAGATTAGTGGTTCGGCACTTTCAAAGCCATGGAGAAAATTAATTTCTCTCCCTGAAGACTGGGCAGTCACGTTCAGCTTCACACTTCTCCATTGTGAGGTTCTTGGCTCCTCTACTTCCATGACCATCACTGCTTCTTCCAGGAAGATGTTAAAAACGGCCTCTTCCGCAGTCTCAGAATTCCTATCCCAAAACCTCTATACTGGGTAGTTAAAAACAAGTTTCAAGCCTTGCTGCTTCTCTCTTTCATACTTACTTTCCTCTGGTTCTTCCTGATGTGTTTCATCTTGTATTTTTGAAGTGTAGTTGGCTGTCCTATTCTCCCTATCGTAGAACTTTCTTTTCTAGTTGATTACAGCTGATATGGAGAAGTGCTTGATGAATTCTTTCTGGCTAGTTGTCATATGGGGTGTGTATTCTTCCTCGCATATGCCCACGGGAGGTGGAGTTAACTCGTTTGAGAAGCTCACATTTGGCCACAGCTTTTGGGAAAGTGACTTGATCCTTGCTTAGACCACGAGCTCTGTTAAAGAGGTGACTTTTTGCCATCTCTTCCAGATCACACCAAGTAACAAGTCCTAGGGAAGTTGTGTTTCGTAGGTCTACAGTAAAAATGTCCAAGAATTTCTCAAATTCTCGAGAGTCTGTGTTTGCTGAGCATGAGTTCTCCAACACTGTGCTCTTTTTCTGGTCAAGCTGAGGGCCTAAGCCAGACACTGAAGTAGCCAGCACAGAAATTATTTGCCCTGATAGTCCTATCATTCACTGTGCTTGGACACAGCAACCGAGACAATAACTTGCTTTGAAGGCTGTAGAAACAAGACACGACAGGGAAATGGAAAGAGAACAGGTAGGTCTGTGATGTCTTTCTGCTCTCTGCCTGTGCAGAGAGGCTACCAGCAGGGTTAGGAAAAGACAGAACGAAAGGTTTCGTCTAGTAGGGGACAGGAACATTGGATGAGAGCAAAGACTGTTAGGATGGAAAATTTCAGTAACACAGAGAAGAACCAGAAAACTTCTAAAGTTTAGAAAACTTTTGATGTATTTGACTGTTTTCATCCCCATCCTAACACAAAGCTAGAGTTGTAGGCAACTCAGGAGTCACAAATATGTTGGGAAAATCTCTCCTACGAGGAGAGGCTGAGGGAGCTGGGCTTGTTCAGCCTGAAGAAGAGAAGGCTGAGAGGGGACCTAATATATGCTTACAAATATCTGCAGGGTGGGTGTCAGGAGAATGGGGCCAAACTCTTTCCAGTGGTGCCCAGTGACAGGACAAGGGGCAACGGGCACAAACTGAAGCAGAGGAAGTTCCAGCTGAACCTGAGGAAGAACTTCTTCCCTCTGAGGGTGACGGAGCCCTGGCCCAGGCTGCCCAGGGAGGCTGTGGAGTCTCCTTCTCTGGAGATATTCCAGACCCCCCTGGACGCGGTGCTGTGCAGCCTGCTCTGGGTGACCCTGCTTGGGCAGGGGGTTGGGCTGGGTGATCCCCAGAGGGCCCTGCCAACCCTGAACATTCTGGGATTCTGTTTTATTTCTTTCCATAAAACACCAACAATTTTTTTTTCCGTGAAAATTAGTAGAGAGTTGTGTTCTGTTTTCTGCTGTGTGTAATGATGGTTGGAGGGAGCCAGGTGAGGTTTAGCAGAAAAGTTCAAAGTGATGGTGAAGCTTGCACAAACGATGTGATTAATTTGGCATAATCAACCATATCATTGTAATGTTCCATGAGAGTTCTGTAAGTACCTTGAATAAAACTTCATGTGAGCTTTTTCACTGTGTATGAGGCAGCTGCTCCCTGGTGGGTTCTTCATTGCCGTGAGAAGATGAAAAAACACTGGCAGCAGCAGCAGAGCCTGTGTTGGCCAAATGCTGTAATTGTGAATGGGCGTTTTTGGTAATTGGGTTGTTCACAGCGATGCACATAGCTCCCTTGTCAGCTGTTGGTGTTATGAATGCTAGATCCAAAGTGACAGTGTGTGCTGAAATAATGGAATAGCCGTTCCCAGAGTACTTGATTACTTTCAAGCAGACATTATCGTTTAAGCCCACCTCTTCATAGACCTGACACAGACCTGGTTATGCTCGTGCTGGCTCCTGAAGTCAGTTCCTGCCTGCTCTTTCTTCTGAGACTTGTCCCAGCCCCTCTGGCCACGGAGCACATCACACTGTGCTTTGGAAAACACCAGTTTACCTGGAGTTTGGCATATAGTCACCGTGGGACAGCCTTTGGCTCCGCCTGTGTCATGAGTCGATTCTGAAAATGCTGATTATCCATTGAAAACATGAAAACAGTGACTGTATTTGCTTTGTGGAGTATTTCAGTATTCATTCTTTTTTCTTTTTGTCTCTCCTTTCATCTCCCCCCAGCTTTTCCTAGTATTGACTCTGTGTGCTGTATTCTGGGTAAGTGAGAAGACTTTGTTTCTCTAAAGAGCAATCTCGCTTGGTTAGTTTATTAATTGTATTATGGATTTAACATACAGTTAAGTCGTAGAGGAAAGATGAGCTTGTGTGTGTGGTACTTGTGTTTAGGTAGAGTGATGAGCCTGCTGGCTCCAGAGCAAACGCACCCTTCCACCTGCCTGTGAGGTACATGAGAATGTAAAATCTAAAGCATCAGGGTCAGTCTGCAGACCTCTGGAATAAGAACTGAGAAAAGCAAGTTAAAACATACTTTCATGTTAGTGATGTGTGCTTATGTCAGAGATATGGTCTTCAGAAACCGTGGGTACAGAATATTAAACCGCTTAAGATGAAGGAAGAGACATGACAAGTACCTTCAGGCCTCTTGATTGAAAAACTGGCTGCAGTTGTGTGCCGTAGAAGTACATGTGTAGCTGAAGAGAACTTCCATGTTTGCAGCAGTGCATGAAAGTGAAGGTGTTAGCGTTGGTGCTGTGAAGTCTTTCCAAAGCTGGAGAAGGTTTTCGTAGCATGAAGCCAATGGAGCGACAGATAAAATGAGTGGGAAGTTGTTAAGAGTGGAACGGGGTAGCAAATTAAATTAAGGAAATTTAGGCATCATTAGTTAACTATATTTTTGACTGAGCAGACTATTCCAGTTGTTTACAGGCTGTTGCAAAATTAACTGACTTGCAATATTTGCTTTATTTTTGCTTAGTGGAACAAAAGAGGTTTGGCAGTGTTATTCTGCATATTGCAGTTCTTGGCAATGACCTGGTAAGATTCTTAAAATTCATTTTCATTTCTTCTCCCTGCCCTGCACCCATGTGAATATAAACCTGTACGCCTCGCACGGCGTAGGTGTGCCCAAATGCTGGCCTCAGTCTGTTTTTCTGAGCTACTTGTGTAACTTCAGCAAAATCTATATACGATTGTCTTGCAAAAATGGTATTTTTAAGTATATTCTGCAATGTGTGGACTTATTTGAAGCATTCTGAAAGGAATATAAAGGCAAAGAAATTCTCATACCTTGTCCCTGCTGTGAAAGTAACTGTATATTCATATGCCCAGCTTCTGATTATCTCCCTCTTTTTAGAGTTCCGAATAAATTTTCATTTTTCACGTGGAAGAAACTAAATAACCTTTCCATAGGCGTGTCCTGCCCCAAGAATATTCAGCGGTGCTGGGTAAAGAGGAGGTGGATGCGGGAGGGTGAATTCAGCGCGGCGGGTGCTAGGATGGCCATCGCGATGCGCTCGAGGGCTGGCTTGGGAGTGTGTGAGCGCGGGGAGGGGGAGCAGGTCCTTCTCCATGGAGACACGACTGCATGTACTCGAGCTCCTCGTCCCAGGTGAATCACAGAATAGTAGGGGTTGGAAGGGACCTCTGTGGGTCATCTAGTCCAACCGCCCTGCCAAAGCAGGGTCACCTACAGCAGGCTGCACAGAACCTTGTCCAGGTGGAGGTGTGCAGTCCCCAGTCAGTAACCAGTGGGAAGGGCCCATATCCACAATCAGATGAGCAGCCAACACCTTCCACTTACTGACTTGATCAATTCTTCATCTCCTGCTCAGTTTGAAACCATCCAGTTACAGGCAGAAGCTCCCTGGGCTAAGCAGATGAAGGGGGGAGTGCCCTTGGTGCACTCAGTCCCACTGCTCTCTGGTGACACCAGGCTACTTGGAAGCTTATGTTACAATGAAGCATGGGTGGCAGGAGAAAAACCGCAGGCAAACCAACCTCTGTGACTATGAACTTATTGACATAGATTTATCTGCTCTTCGTGGCATTATTCCCTCTCGTTCCACCACAGCACAAAGTTACGGGTAGAAAACACTTTTTTTTCTCCTGTACGTTTTGTGGTGAAGGGAAAACAATTATCAAGAAGAAAAAGAAAAGAACAGAAGATGAAAGGGCCAGCCTCACACAATTACAGCCTCAAGTGCTCCTGCACCACTCCTGAACTTCACCAACATCGCATTGTCCTGGCGCGACACTGGCAATGCCTGTTAATCAGTGGTAGAAGAGACACGAACAGAAGCACCATCTGGAAAGCTACAGAGCCACGTCAGGTTTGTGCTGAGTGCTGGACTGTGCAGAGCACACTAGGAAGGTGTAGGGACTTATCCCCCATACCGAATACCTCCACGTATAGCCACGAGTGAGGAACAACCTCCGGAGAAGAATTTCTACATTTGTTTCACCTCTCTTCCCTGCTAGTAAGACCAGACTTATTTTAGGACTGAAGAGGTTGGATGTGACGCCAGGATCTCTAAGGCCCAACATGCATCCTCTTTATGCTTGGGTGCACCAAACTTCTCCGACAAATCTTCAGAGTTTCGCGTAGTGAAGGGAACCACACCACGCGTAAATTAGGCCAACCCAGGTTTTTTTTCTGAGGTCTTTCACTGCCCTGTTGTGTGAGCTTAAGAAAACCATTGGATTCACTAGAAATAACTCAGAATTGATGTAAATGGCTGTACAAATTTGTGGCAAATCAGAGTCTAATACTTTCTCATATGTTTGGTTAATTGAATAATTATTATATTGCTGCACTACTAGTTCACAGAAAATAACTTCATACTCCGAGGCGATCCAGGGTGACCACAGTTCTTGTTTGAACTTGCCTGGAATACGCAGTGTCTGTGCTGGGCATGGATCTGAGGACAGACAGCCGTTTGTTCAGGGCAGGGGCTGCGGGGCGTCGCGCTGGGCCCAGGCCGATGCTCCGTACGAGGTACAGGGGTGACCACGAGCTCAGACCGCGTTCTGCAGGTTAACAGCAGGCAGCTTCACATGGGTTGCGTGGCCTGGAGCTTGGTCAGGCTGGGCATGAGAACACAACGCAGCCTGCAGGCTTGCGAGAGGCAGGGAGAAGAGAGTTATCAACTATTGAGTGTCACAGTGGTGGCATATTATTGTATGTACTACAAATTATATACTACAGTACATATCTGTATTTAGAGTTACATAAATAATATGATTAGGAATGCATATTGTCTTTTAAACTGGGAAGAGTTGTCTCTGTCACCTCGAAGAATACAGTTTTCCCAGAAATCTCCATTCCTTTTGAATCTGGTGATGGTAAATCAGTGAGTTTAAGTTTATGCACGCTAGAAGTTACGAACTTAAACAAGGAAAAAGTAAACCAGGAAATCCTTGGCAGTACGTTTGGGTCTTGTCCAAAAGTGTCATCTTTTCTCAGGTAAGCATGAAATTGAGTAGGTAATTTGATTTAAAATTTTGTTAAAACAGATTGCGTTTATTAATGCTGGACTAAAGTGAAATAATTAGGTTCTAGGAGAGGCATGAGCACTCTGTCACATACACTTTTTTCTTCTTTTTTCCAGGTATAGTCTATCATATATTCCTTTTGCAAGGTAAGTGCATAATAACTCCCATCCTAACAAAAGTCAGTTATCTTTATGCTAGGGAGGGGGAAAAAGTCCTTCAATTCAGCATGTGAAAAAACTGAACCTCCTCCCTTTTCATTTTTAGAAAATGACATAGCTGAACTCAAAGTAATGCATAATATAAGCTTTAAATACAAGTAAAGTGCATCATAATCCTCGTTGCTAAATTTCATTCTAGTTTTCATCACTGAAAATCAATGGAAGTTTTGTTTAAATTCTCCAGTGGTTTAAAAATACATCGATGCAATAGTGACTCTTACAGTACTAAAAGATAACTCATGGGTCTGTGGTCTTAGTTACCAGCAAACAAACAAGCATATTTTCAGCTGCTAAGCCTCCTGGATTCCTCCATCATTTTTAGGAGAGGCAAAGGCAGCGTTTCATGATGATTTTCATTTTGGCAAGCTTCTCTCTCTCTTTTCACTCTTGCCTGTACAAAAAGGGAATGAAAGCTAGCCAAACACAGACTGAAACCCCGTGCGAGTAAACAAACAGTCTATTTTTTCTGTAATGTTTTATGTAAAATGCAGTTTAGTCTATCAGCTGTGTGGGTTTTTTGGGTTTGTTTGTTTTTTTTTTTAAAGTGCTTCCTTGTCTGTACATTACTTAATGAGTTGTTCTGTAGTAGAAGTGGGGAAAACAGAATGCAAAGTATTGTCTGTCCCTTTCATCTCGTATTTTCCTGTAGTGTTTCTGTAACTTTGCCGAAACATCTGTACTACAGATTGATTTTTTTTTTTAAAGCTTCAGATCTGATATAAGGAGGATTAAGCTTTATATATATTTTTTTTTAAAGACAGTGGTTGATAATTACAATGGATTCAATACTTCAACTGAACTCAGGCTTCAAATTGTCACCTTGCTATTTCTGACATCTCGAGCTAACCCAGCCAAAAGCAGTATTCAGAGTTCCATGCGACAGGCTCAGTAGGGTCATTCCTTTAGGTTTTTTTTCTTCTTGTTTTCAAATGTTCTGCTCCGTACAGAAAACAAGCGGAGCTGCTGATCACCGGTCTTTACTTCCCTACCAACTGTACTTCAAGTTCTGGGCAGAAGAACATTGGGTTATAGGCATCACTTAATTTCTTTGGGTTTATATCTGTTAGATTTTATGAGCCAAAGAACTGAACTTTACGCAGGCTGCTTGTAGTAGTGCAGTGCTTTCTTTAGGGGTTATTGAGTTACTGGCTTATGTGGGATGCTATCATAAACTCCTTGTGTAGGCGGCCTTTCTTGCAGAGAGAGTGATCCCAAACCATGCCGAGGGCCAGAGAACAGTGTTGTGGAACTTGTTTAATGCCCACATTGATCTCGACTGCAACAAAATTGTCATTGCTTGATTTAACTCTGCTAATGGCTTGCTCTTAATAATAATTTACTTGTTTGTGGGGTTTTGGGGATGGGGGGTTTTTTTCCCCAATTAATCGTGGCGCTCCTGCTGGCCTGGCAAAAAAAAAAATATCCCAAGCCAAACAAAACAGCACAACACTTAGGTACAGTGACTTTAAAAGCTGCAATAGTGTTTTCCTTCATGTTTCAAATGGTCTAACAACAGAATATGAACTCCACTCCTTAGTAAGTTTTGAGAAAATTAAAAATTAAGGAGAGTGCAGTGAGTGATGGAAGGAGAGTAGCTGGCCAGCCGGCGCGAAGCAGGGCCCGGGGCCTTTGCAGAGCCGTCCTCAGCGCTGCGTTCCGCGGCGTGCGCCCGAATGTGAACGCGAACCAGCAGAATCACAGAATCACAGACTGGTTGGGGTTGGCAGGGACCTCTGTGGGTCACCCAGCCCAACCCTTGCCGAAGCAGGGTCACCTACAGTAGGTTGTAGAGGACCTTGTCCAGGCGGGTCTTGAATATCTCCAGAGAAGGAGACTCCACAACCTCCCTGGGCAGCCTGGGCGCCGTGGGCAGCCCGGAGCTCCCTCCGCTTCAGCTGGGGCTGCGGATGCGCGCAGCGGAACCGTGGCTGCTCAGGTCCTGCATCTGAGAAACTGCTGGGTTTTGTCTTTAGTTTACCTAATGTTTTTGGTGTTAAACATGTAATGGTTGGTGTGTACGTAAAGAAAATAACAGTACCCTAACTGACTGTTTTTTTCTTTCTTTTTAAAGGGATGCTGTGATTAAATGCTTCTCATCCTGTCTAGGCTAAACTGAAACCAGGAACCACTGCGTGCTTTAAAAGCCGACTTCTGTTGCTCTGTGAATTTTCCTTGGATAACTACACTTCTCCACTCACGAAATACCCAGTAACAATATAGTTTTCCTTGCCTTCTGCATTTGGGGGATTAAAGAATTTTTACTACAAACAGTTTAAAAATAAATGGGGTGAACTGGTTGTGTTTACCCTTGGACTTTTGGGCTTTTTTTAACAAAAAAAAAGTACATTTAAATACTTTTTGCAGAGTAGTCTTCAGACTACCTTGCATCCAGTAGCATTTTGTTCCCCGGTGGAGGCAAGCCACCAAGATCTGGGTAGCGTGCGTGAAGATCTCTCATTTAGAGTTCTGTCTGCAGTCTGCAATGTGCCATTTGTGTTTGTATTATGCATTGGATGCTTTCCCAAAGACAGAGTGTTATAAACGTTGTAAAGGTTTGGTAAGTTATAGTTCACTGCTCCTTTGAAATGTCTATACGTGTGCCTTACAGAAAAAGCTGAATGAAAATATGTGAAAGGTCTGTTTAAAGCTGTTGGATTTTATTATTAAAAAGCTATATTTTAAGTGATTTTTTTTTTAACTTTCATACTTAAATACTTTTTACTAAGAGAACTTATGGCTAATGTATAAATGAGATTTGTGAAATAAATTAGTTTTAAAGATGCCTAAATGATTTTTTATTTAGGAGTCGGCTAGAGGACTGCAAATTTCAGCGTTACACTTGAATAAATATGAAAATATTAGAAGTGGGATAGGTATATGACGAGACGCAAATTTGGCTGTCAGATTTGCGGCAGCGGCTTTAAAGCCTCGTTGTGTCAGTATTCAGACAAACTGCTCGTTCTGACTTCAGCTGCTGACAGACGGAGGTGAAGCACTCCAGAGCTTTGCCTGGCCTCCCTGAGGTGGTCTCACTTGTGGTTTTTTGTGCCTGAGCTGTTCGGTTATTCAGGAGCAATGTTAAATCCCTCGCGTTGGAGGGCTGATGCTGTGTGACAGGGTGGCTGTGCTGGAGTATCTGCGTGCTAAACCTCGGTTGTTTGGGATGTGGGGGTTTTCTGCTCGTCCACAGCCAGGAGGAGGGGTGGGTTCGGAAGGATGTGAGCTGCAGTGCGGGAAGGGGGGAAGCCCCTGTCTTTTTTTCAGCGTTCAGGGTGCAGGGTGAAGAGCCGGATTGCAGCACCTCCCTGGTGCATCTTGGAAAATAGCAGCTTCTTTTGGGGAGGCTGTGTACAGGACGGTTGCATGATTTTGCCCTAAACGGCCACCCGAGCCGTTCCTTTTTACTGAATAGTGACAATAAGTTGCCAGTCGGGTGTCCTTCGTGCTGATGATGGGGGACCGGGTAGTCCCGGCCCGGCAGCAGGCTCTGGGCTCGTTAGTGCCGTTACCTGAAACCAAAAACAACTCCCGGAACACAGAAAGTACGTTCAGAGAGGAGACGTTTTATTCTGCGTGGGGTGCGAGGTGGAAGATGTCCACGCATCAAGCACATGCACTTACAAGCACATTGCATATTTATACTGTAAAAATGGTAAAAAAAAATGTTAGTACCACCCATTAGCCATACCCTCCTGACTAGGGTGGGTGAGTTCCCTTCTCGCCTTGGCTGAAAGACGTAGTGCTCCTAGCGACAGGGAGAGAGGCAATGGCCTCAAGTTGTGTCAGGGGAGGTTCAGCTTGGATATTAGGAAAAATGTCTTCACTGAAAGAGTGGTCAGGCTTTGGACCAGGCTGCCCAGGGCAGTGGGGGAGTCCCCATCCCTGGAGGGGTTCAAAAATCGTGTAGAAATGACACTTCGGGACATGGTTTAGCAGGCATGGGGGTGTTGGGTTGGTGGTTGGACTTGATGATCTTAGAGGTCTTTTCCAACATTAATGATTCCGTGATTCATGCAGATGACACCGAGCGATGTCGGTGTTGACGGTTCTGTTCAATCATGGGAGAGAAATCTTTCTGTAGATCAGCTGCGTAACGCAGTGACATGCTACATTTTGTACAATATTCCCTTTTATTCCCAGTTTGCCCAAACACTTTTTCCTTTTTTTTTTTTTTCCCCCCTCCTTGAAACTTCAGGAAAGACAGAGGAGATGCTTTGAGAAAGATAATTATTTATTAAATGCGTTGATACAGCCATTAAAAAAAAATGCTGGACGAGTATAACACAGGTGTTGTGAAATAGCTGTGCTCAAAGGCCAGAGAGGAAAGCCTGGGGGGTGAGAGTGTGTGGAGAGCAGTTCTGTTCTGTGTAAGCAGCTGCAGAGGGTCGTCCGGCGTGCTGGCTCGGAAACACGCGCGTCTTCGCATCATTTTAACCGAGTTCACGGGCAGGTCTGCCCTTGTACGCCAATTTTCGGTAACGTCTTCAAGCGAATCTGCCCTCACAATTGCAAAATTCCTGCCAAATTTAGTTTATGCTGGATTGCTGTCAGACCTGCTTTTTTTTTTGGTTTGTTTTTCCCCTCTTCTAACGATGAGGAAAACCGCCGCGGGTCAGCTGCAGCCGAGCTCTCCTCCTGCGTCTCTTTTGGAGCTGGGAGTCTACAAAGGAGCACCCTGGACTGAAAACCACCCCGACCGCCCTCGGTGGCTGCGACAGAGAGCGATTCCCGCGGTGACGGCTGCTTTGCTCCGACTCCGAAGCGCGGCGGGGGATTCCGTGAATTCGAACGCACCGCAGCAGCAAAGAGAACGTGGCTGGGGTCGTGCAGCGAGCGTCGGCGTGGAGCAGCACGTCCTGCGCGGGATGGCGCCGTCGGGCTTGGGATGGGTGTGGAGAAACTGCTCAAGTTCTGCTGGGTAGATGTTCTCTCCTCCCCGAATAATCATGTCTTTGCAACGGCCTATGATTTTGCAGTAGCCGTGCTCATCCAGGATCGCAAGGTCCCTGCAACGACAGCACGCTCCTAATCCTGTCCCCGCTGGGGGCAAGAAGGGCTGAGGCTCCCACCCAGCCTGGTCTGGAGGCCCCGTCAGGGCATCGGGAGGGTAATGGCTGAGATGCCACCTCAGCACGTGGAAGAGATCAAAAGAGCTCCTTCTACAGCCAGACATTGCCATTGGCAGCGTCCATGCAAGCAGCAGGGCTCAGGGAGAGACAAGGGCGAATGGCTCTAAATTAAAAGAGGGCAGATTTAGATTGGATATTAGGAAGAAATTCTTCACCATGAGGGGGTGAAACACTGGCCCAGGCTGCCCAGGGAAGCTGTGGCTGCCCCCTCCCTGGCAGTGCTCAAGGCCAGGTTGGATGGAGCTCTGAGCAACCTGGGCTGGTGGAAAATGTCCCTGCTCATGGCAGGGGGGCTGGAACCAGATGAGCTTTAAGGTCCCTCCCAACCCAAACCATTCTATGATTGTATGATAATGAAGCTGCTTACTTCATTAATAGGTGGTATAACGGACGTTTGAGCCCAGTGGCCAGCTTCGAAGGACGAAAACGCCTGTGGAGATTCCAACAGCCGTGACAGCCCTCGAGTAAGTCACTGCGCTTGGCTTTGTGCTGTCCAAGAGCCGTTATTTAATGACGTGCCAAACCGCGTCGTGTCGTGAACGGATCATGGTTCCTTTCCTCGCTCAGCTTCGAAGGACGAAAACGCCTGTGGAGATTCCAACAGCCGTGACAGCCCTCGAGTAAGTCACTGCGCTTGGCTTTGTGCTGTCCAAGAGCCGTTATTTAATGACGTGCCAAACCGCGTCGTGTCGTGAACGGATCATGGTTCCTTTCCTCGCTGGCAGGGCGGGAGCCTTCCGAAGCGCTGAGAACCGAAACTTCACCCCAAGACACCCGCATGCCCCCCACGGCACCCGCCGCTGCGGCAAATGGGTAATGCTGCTCGGTAACAAGCTGTGGCACTTTTTTTTTCTTCTTTTCTTCTTTTTTTGTTTTTTGTCTTTTTCTTTTTTTTTTTCTTATTTGTCCTATTTCTTTTTTCTATTCATTTTTTTCTTTCTTTCCAGTCTTCTTTTGTCTGTCTTTCCATTCTTCTTTGGTCTTTCCTTCTTTTTTCTTTCTTTTCTCTTCATTTTTCCATTACTTCTTTTTTCTTTCTTTTCTCTTCACTTTTTCTTTCCCTCTTTTGTTCTTCTCTCTTCATTTTTTCTTTCCCTTTTTATCTTTTCCCTTCACTTTTTCTTTTCCCTTCACTTTTTCTTTTCCCTTCACTTTTTCTTTTCCCTTCACTTTTTCTTTTCCCTTCACTTTTTCTTTTCCCTTCACTTTTTCTTTTCCCTTCACTTTTTCTTTTCCCTTCACTTTTTCTTTCCCTTCACTTTTATCTTTCCTTTCCCTTCACTTTTATCTTTCCTTCTTTTTCCATTCTGCTTTTTTTTCTGTTCTGCTTTTTTTTTTGTTTTTGTTAAATCACAATCCTGACAGTAATTACGCTTCTGTTCTTGAAAGCATCTTTATTTACTTACTGCCTAGTATATGAAGGTCTTATCAGAGATCCAGCCATTTTAATAGAACCTCAGATGATACCATCCCCCCCCTTTTTACTTTTTTTGTCCTGTGGCAACCACTGTTATAACTTCTCCTATAGTTCCTGATCCGAGCTAAACCCATCTCCCCTTTCCCCCCTCTCACCCCCTCAGTGCAGAGTTTAGAAGTAAAGAGTAAACAGCTGAATAAGTGGTTTGGGGCGGCTGTCGTGTGGGACTGCATGGCGTTAGGATTTATTTTTTTGCCGCTGTGTGATGCGCTGAAGAGGCCTCGATGGTGAATCTCGTGGCTCCAGCGCAGCGGGCTGGCCGGCACGGTGACAGCGTCCCTTCCCCACGCCGGCTGCGGAGACTGAAATCTCTTCTCGGGAGGGGCACCCACGCTCTGCGAACATCCGTAACAAGGCACGCTCTGATGCCCCGCTGCCAAGGACTCCCTACGAAGGTAGTTTGTGCCGCTCGCTGTATTCAGCCCTTTGCACTAGGGAGAATTCATGTTCTCAGTTCGCTGGTAGTCGCTGAGCTGCTTTTAACGTTGAGGGGAATGCTGTGCGTGGACCTGACGCAGGTCACCTCGGGGTGCGAAGAATTGGCCTCGGTAGATGCGTCGATGAGGGGACTGGAGCATCTCCCCTACGAGGAGAGGCTGAGGGAGCTGGGCTTGTTCAGCCTGGAGA